ATCGACAAGGTTTTGAATTCTCTCGCAACTCCTCGACCTTTATAGTGCCAAGCTCGATCAAAAGGTACCTCAAGTACACGACGCAGGAAATTCTCAAAGACTGACGTAAATCTTCCGTAGTCTGCTCCCAGCTCGATAGCAGTCTCGGGATCATACTTGTCCGAGAGGCTGTCTTGTATCCAATCTGGCGGTAGGGTCCACTCACAATGCTGGAGGGTGTTGTCGTCAATGGTGGTCCAAAGCCTATCCAGACCTTCAACCCTCCATTCTAAATACTTGGCTGGGTGGCAATCCTGCACTACTGACTTGACCTCGGGCGTCTTGTGGTCAAAAATATGTGACTGCCACATATGCTGAAGTGTCTCGGAGTCGAAGTCGAAAAAATCTCGATGTAGAAACCTGCGAACCTCCTCTGGGTATTTCGTGCAAGTGCTTGCCTGCTGAGGTTGTGCCAAGGACTCCTCGTCTTCAGACTCGGGTTCAGGTTCTTGTTCGAGATCCTCCGAGTACTCCGAAGCTCGTTGTTGCCGTCTCCGCTCCAGCTCTAATTTCTTCCTCGAACGTTTACTGTTGGGGTCGCTCTGCAACTTGGTGGGCAGCGGTGGCAAGAACATCTTCGGTAGGTCCAAGACTCGACGTGCAGAGTGTTGTGCAGCAACATTCAACTCTAAAATCATGCCGTAATGGTCACCACCTTGAGCATCTATCTGGATCGCATCATGAAAAAGTGCAGAGAAGTCCTGAGAAGCCACAGCATAGTCGATGATGCGCTGCCCTCTGCCCCTCGTGGACGTGTGCGTGATGCCTGGTGGGTGGTAAAAATGTCCATTCCATTTGCGCATCCATGTGGCCATCTCCAGGGGGGTAGCGTTGAAGTCACCCATGACGATCCAAGGTCCCGCATGGTTGTCCAACAGCGCCGAAATAGTGAGAAGCTTTGAAACATTGATAGGTGCTTCCAGCCCCACTGAGACAGTCAAGTATGCTCCAATCACAAGTAGTGGGACTCTGGCGATCTTCCACTCGATCGCCACCACATCCTTGAAGGACAGGGGCCCTGATAACTTTTGCTTGTTGCTGACGTCCACTAAGCCAATCGCATTGTCAGGGTCGTCTGATAAGTGGCGAAAAGAAGACCAGCAATGATGCTGTCGGATACCCAGTAAAATGCCACCTGCCTTCTTCACGTAGGTCGTGGGGTATGCTGGAGAAACAATACCTTGCCATTTGTGCTGCTTCAGCGTACTCAAAATATCCTGGGTGTCGCACGCCAGCACGTGGGTCTCGGGCATGATGATGATGTCAACATCACTCTCTGAAAAAAGCTTGGTGGCTTTGTGCCCCCACATAGAAAGATTGTGCAGTAGCAATCGTCGAACTTCTGGTGTAGCATTCCGAGATCGTCTCGGCTTCGGGTACAGTCGAATAGTGCTACCCGCACTTTTGCGGGGCCACGGCAGCATCAGCGTAGGTCGCCGACGAGGGCGCGTTGCCCCTGGCTTCTGCCAGGACCCGCTGCACTCGCTCCTGGGACGCCTTCGCCTTAGGAGGCGCCTCGCTTGCCGCTGCCTCCTGAGGCTGCGAAGGTGGCGTCGCTGCAGCAGGGGCGGCCGAGGCTGCTGCCGAAGCCGCGGCGCGATGCCCAGCAGCGGGTGCTGCCTGGCCTTCATCTGCGGCAGGGGCAGCAGGCTGGTCTTCACCTGCTGGTTGCTCATCACCACGATCTTCGCCTTCATCAGCTGCCTCGTCAGCTCCCACACGTCGACGCTTGGAAGCCATGCGAGCCTTGAACTCCTTGAACTGTTGCCTGCGAGCCCCCAGTGACGCAGCTGCTGGGCCAATCGCTGCACTGATTGCCTGCTTGATCTCCTGTGCCAAAGATATCTTGTGCTTCTGCCAAGCCTCGATGTCTTCCTTGGCCAGGTCCAGGTCCTCGAAGTCGAAGGCCTCGCCGTCCTCGAACTCGAACAGCTGCCCAAGCTCGCAGCTCTCGTCGAGGAAGCTGGACAGGTTGAGCTTGGGCTTGGGGCCGGCGGCAGCTCGAGCGGCTCCTTGACGATTCTTGAGGCGCTGGAGGTCTTGTTCCAGCTGCTGCTCATGTGCCAGCCTGGCGTCGGCTGCATCTTGTGCCGCCTTCTCCACAGTCGCCCGAGCCCGTGCCAGCCAGTCGATGCACTCCTGCTCGTGAGCGATCGCCTTTGCAAGAGATTCGTCGGCCTTGCGAGCAGCCACTGCCAGCCGCTGGGCCTCTCTCTCACGCTCAAGGCTGGGCTTGACTGGGGCGGCGGCCGCTGGCGGTGGGGCGACCTCGAACTCCTTCTTGAGTGCCGCCAGGCGATCGCCGTGCTGTGGGGCGCGGCGTAGCAGAGCCTCGAACAGCTGGTCGGTCGAGGGGGCAAAAGGGTTGGTGCTGCCGTCGCCGAGGGTTGCAGCCGTAGTTGCCGCCCCTGTAGGAGCCCACTGTCCTGGGGGCGGCCGCGCGAAAGGGCTTGGTGGGTGT